CTCTGGGGCCTTCCATCTTCCCAAGCTCCTGGAGGCAACGTACAGGAATCTGTGCTGAGCTCAGGAAATTCCCCACACCCTGTCCTGTCCTCCTCCGACCCAGGACCCAGGCCTCCTTCCTGCGTTCCTGAGGCTCTGTGCCCCCCATCTACATCACCCCGTCCTTGCCCTCCTCTCTCGGCTATCTCCCCACCTCAGGAAACTGGGTCCTTTGGCTGTGTCTCCTAGTCACCCTCCATCCTACCCCGATCCCGGCTTCCGGACTACCTGGTCTCTGTCCTCCGTCGGAGGGTGTAGCCCTGTCCTGGCCCCCGGAGCCTCCATCCACTGTCCACAGAATCCCTTGCTCTCCGGGCTTTCCTTTGCCTGTGCTTCCTGAGAGCCAAGCTGAGGAGCCTGCATTCCCTAAGGAGGGCTGGCAGGGGTGGGAGACTGGGGCCATTGCCTACAGTGATACTAGTGCCTCAGAAAAGTAGCCCCCCCACCACACACACACACATACACTCTGGGAGGAGTTCTGCTTGATGTAGCAAGTGCGGTCAGGAGGTGTCCGCTGCCAGTTGTCAGGATGGCAGGAAGGAGCCTCCCCTCACCAACTCTTTTTGGTGTTTCTCTTTCAGAAAACCGGCCACTCCCGCCGGGCCTTCGGCCGACTCACCCATGGTGCGTGGAGCTTGGCTGCCCTTTGCTAATAGTCCATGCCCACTGCTCCTCTTGGTCCCTGCCCCCCTGATGAGGCATCATGGCCCTGAAGATAGCACCTGAGATGTGGGATCCCTGCCCTCACATACACAATCTCCTACCCGTGCCCTAAGCAAGCCCTGCAGTCCAGAAGGGACTACATCGTGGGCCAGGCCTCAAGACAAGGCCTGGACTCACCGTCCTCCATGTGAGGGCTAAGTGGGAGGTGGGGAGCTCACTGACTTGCTTTGGCTCCCATTCATCATGGCACCCATAGGGAAACTGAGGCACAGAACTGCACGGACTCTGGGAAAGTGAGAAACGCAGGCAGGGAACTTTGCTCTTAGCCAGAAAATGCATCTGGCTTGTTTGAGGACCAGGAGGGCCTCGGGGGTGCCTGTCACCTCCTGAGGCAGGCTGGGGAGGGGGGGTTGTTGCTTTGCAGAGTCAGAGTGCAATGCAAATATAGTAATAGTGGGTGGGCATGACCCCTCATGGTAGGGCTGGTATCTATAGCTGGGCTGGCTGGTGTAGGAGAGAAAGAGAGAGAGTGTGTGTGTTTACACATGTGCACATGTGACATTAGGAGTGTAGGGTGTGGGGACATGGGAGTACTGGGGTGTGCCAAGGGAGCCAGGATCACTGGGGCAGTTGGACTAACTAGCAAGCACATGGGCTCCCCAGTGCTGTGCACAGGGGGACCTGTAGTCAGGGAGAGAAGGAGCGACACCTGCCCACACTAAGTGTCCCCACCTCACACCCCATCCCCATAGGGCACCTCTGGGCACTGGGCCCCCTCTGTCCTGCCTGCCCACCATGCCCTAGCCCCACATACGCTCTGATAACAGTCTGTCCCTGTCTTTCTCCCGCTGCTCCTATGGAAGCGAAGTTTTCCGCTCCTGCAGAAAGCAAAGCTACGGTAGGAAACTTACTTCTGCCCTGGCCCTCCACTCCCCTCTCCCCGCCGGCCTGGCCTGCCTCACCCTGCCTTAGCTGCACCCTGCATCTTCCAGCTGGGTTGGGGTTGAGGACAGGCTGGCCTTGCGGCTAGTTGCGTGTCCTGAGAATGCGTCTCCAAGGTGACTCAGCGTGTATGTAGGGCCTTGGAACCTAGGAATTTGTTCTTTGCCGGCCACATGGAGGCTTACAGGGGAGCAAGGGGGATGGAAGGAGGCCCTGGCAATCCATTTAGTGGTTGGGAAGGGGACAGGAGCCTCGAAGGCCAAAGGCCACAAGAAGGTGGGGGGTGGGGTGACTAGGGGTCCAGAGATGGAGGCAGGGCTCTGGCGTGGCACCTAGGATGTCAGGGAGCGTGGAGCACCTACACTGGAGCCAGCAGTGGGGGTGGGGCAGGAAGAACTCGTATCAGAGGAAGGAGGGCCCAGCCCACACAGACCCCTTCTTCTTCAGACTCAGAGACGGGTGAGGATGACATCAGCGACGTGCAGGGGACCCAGCGCCTGGAGCTTCGGGATGACGGGGCCTTCAGTACCCCAACGGGTGAGCTCCCCAGAGCATTCAACCGACAGGCTGCTGGGCTTCCCACAAGAGGGGCCACAGGCTCACAGTGCTGTTCTCCCTAGGGGGCTCCGATACTCTGGTGGGCACCTCCCTGGACACACCCCCGACCTCCGTGACCGGCACCTCCGAGGAGCAAGTGAGCTGGTGGGGCAGCGGGCAGACGGTCCTGGAGCAAGAAGCGGGCAGTGGGGGTGGCACCCGCCGCCTCCAGGGCAGCCCAAGGCAAGCACAGGCAGCCGGGGCCGGGCCACGGCACCTGGGGGTGGAGCCGCTGGTGCGGGCATCTCGAGCTAATCTGGTGGGCGCAAGCTGGGGGTCAGAGGATAGCCTTTCGGTGGCCAGTGACCTGTATGGCAGCGCGTTCAGTCTATACAGAGGACGGGCGCTCTCGATCCAAGTGTAAGTAACAACCTCGCTCTGGCCTGCACTGTCCTGCCTCACCATTGTGCCCTGCACTGCCCCTGATCGCTCCATTGACCCCCACCCATCTGCCCTGCACTGCCGGGACCCCTACGTGCATCCCCCTGTGCGCTCTCCACCCCCACAGCTGCCACTCCATCTTCCCACGCTGCTACTCCTGTCCTGTCACCACCCACACACTCCCTCCACTCCCACCTGTCCTGGCCTCCCATGCCATGGCCCCTCTGTCCAGGACCCCTCTGTCCTTCTGCCTCCTCTAGGCGCTCCACTTCCCCAGGGGCCCTCTCCTGCCTCACCCATTCAGGCTCCAGTTGTCCCCAGGATCCCCTCCCCTTCGGGGCCCCCTCCGTGCCTGCTGTCTCAGCAGCTGCTGCTTTTTCATCTCTCTGCACATTCCTGTTCCCATGTGGGCCTTTTTCGGGGAGAAACGGAACCTTTCCACACGTCAGCTCCCGGAAGAGCAGGAGGGCCACCCGGAGAGAGAAGCCAGAGAAGCGAGTGAGGTGGTCAGAGGGCAGATGGGGGTCAGCTGGCCTGGGGGGGGCAGAAGCAGGGCGTGGGGGGCAGAGGGCTGGGAACTCAGCGACAGGGGGATGGAGATGAGGGGGAAGCGGGGACAGGTAGAGGGCTTGGTGAGATGGAGGCAGGGCCAGTGAAGCCCAGTGGGAAATGCCCACAAGTGGGGTTGAGGGTTGGCTTGGCAGGGGTGGGGCAGAGCGGACTGTTGGGGTAAAGCCATTTTTGGAGGTTCAGGGGCTGGCAGATCACAGAAGGGTGTGCTTTAGCAGAGGAGGGAGTGGTGATCAAAGAATTGGGGGGTATTTGGGGAGCTGGGAGGGGGCCTGGCATGATGGGTAGGGGTGTGTGGGAGGTACCATTAGAGAGAAGAAAGAAGGGGTCTACTGTGTATGTGTGTGTGTGTGTGTGTGTGTGTGTGTGTGTGTGTGTCTCTCGGGGGCACTGTTTTGAGGATGGATGGAGTGTCGGAGAATGGGTGGGAGGAGAGGTCGAGGCAGGGAAAGCGGCCCCCCTTGTGCATTACCCAGGCGCCCCTGTGCCCTGGACTTGCCTCTCCCTTCTCTGCCTTTTTCTACCAGGCCCCAGCCAGAGCCTGGAGTTGCTATGGCAACTTCCAAGGAACCGATTTCCTTAGCGATGTCTGTAGTACAGAGGCTGGCCTGGAGCTGAGCTGCAGCAAGAGGCCTCCTAGACTGTCCCCAATTTCTGTCCATGCCTCACCCCATTCCTGGCCCTCCCCAAAGCAGCCGCTCCCTCCTGCAGATAACTGGCTCGGGCTCTGCTTCCCTCCTCCGGTGTCTGTATTGCCACTGCCCCAGCTAGTCAGAGGTGGTATGAGGGAGGGGCTGGCCCAGGGAGGGGAAAACGTCATCATACCTGGCAAATGTAGAACTTCTGCCAGGGCTGTGCCCCCATTCTCCTCCCTCTTTGCCCCCAGGAACCCAGACATTTGGGAGGGAACAAAGAGGGCTTAGGAATCAGACTTCCTGGGTTTGAATCCCAGCACTTAACCATTAGCTGTGTCACCTTGGTAAGTCACTTAAACTCTTCAAGCCTCGGTGTCTTCATCTGAAAATGGGATCATGGCAGTTCCTAGCTCAAAAGATGCTGTGAGGCTTTCATGGCACACTTGTAGACACTGTATATACACCTGGCACACGCCTGAGCCATTCCTCAAGTGTATAGTAAACAACTCTAACAGGCTGAGCCCTGCTGGCATTATGTATTAGGCTGTGAACCACATGGTCAGCAGTTCAAAACCACCAGGTGCTGCATGGGGAGAAAGATGAGGCTTTCTACTCCCAGAAAAAATGAGAGTGTTGGATACCCACAGGGGCAGCTCTACCCTGCCCTGTAAGGTAATTATGAGTCGGAGAATACACTCAGTGGCAGTGAGTTTTTTCAGTTAATGGGTATGATGTTAATAGCTTCCAGATTCCTTTTCTCACTAATCTTTCTGTTTGCTTCTCTGGGACCCAGACAGGGGAAACTGAGAACTAGCTTTTGAGCATTAAAGTGGGTGAGAGGGGTCCTCCCCTTCCAGGCCCTACACTGGCCCCTTCCGAGTTTCTGGCAAACCCCTTGGCGTGGGCTGGGGTGAGGGGACTTCCTTGTTTTTCAAGGAGGTTTCCAAGGACTCGGGGACCTTTCTCAGGGGCAGGGCAAGGTCAAAGACCTAGTCTGGTGACAGATGGACTACAGCCCAAAGTATCCACTACCATCAAGTCAGGGAAGATGGGGCAGAATTGTCCTGTGGGTGGTGGGTATCCAAGACTGTGAATCTGCCCGGAAGCAGCCTGCTGCTTCTACCTCCTGGGGAGCCAAGCACTTAACCCCTGGGCCATCACCATGGCTCCTTCCCTAGATTGACCATGGAGTGTGGGGAAACTGGGTGTCCTAAAGCCCCTCCCTATCCTAGAGATCCCAGCAGCCACCATGGGTCCTCCCATGATGCAGGTGAGGGTGGCGGGGCTAGCCCAGGGCTCCAAGTTGGTCTAGGCATTCTGCGCCACCAGGCACTGCTCTCTGAAGGTTGAGCCTGCTGGGCTGCTTCGGTTGCTGCTCTTCTAGGGGGCCACGGGGTGGGGGGCTGGGTGGAGGGCAAGGTGTGTGTTCTCTGAGGATGAGCAGGGCTGTGGGGTCAACTGGGGGCAGGAATGAGTGGGAGGCTGCATTCCAGAGAGGACCCCTCCCCATCCCATGCTTCCCTCTGCACTTCATCCTTCGGGTCCAAACCCCATTTCTTCCTCTCGCTCATGCTGAATTCTGGTCCCGCTATTTCCCAGCTTCAGGGGCTGGAGGAGAGGGCTGGCCTGAGCCTCTGGGGCTGCTTCTGTGCCTGGGCCCACACTAGCCCCATCTCCTGGTGCCAGAGCCGCCAGCCCCTCTCTCCCCCAGCCCCTGCTCTGGCCGCGCTCTCCTGGGAGGAGGGGGGTGGCAGGAGGACCTGGCCCATGTCACTCCCAAGCCTGCCCAGCATGCCCACCGCTCAGTTCCTGTCACGAGCCGAGGGTCGGGGAGGAGAGACCCCCTAAGTCTTCGCCCCCGGTCTTGGTTCCAGCAGCGTCCCTCCGAGTGGATCGCGCAGGGAAGAGCCGGACCCCGAGCCGCAGCCGGCCAGCGAAGCCCTGCGCCGCCCAACCCTGCCACCTCCCTCCAAGTCCGCGCTGCTCCCCCCGCCTTCCCCTCGGGTGGGAAAGCGGCCCCCGCCGGGACAGAGCGCCCAGGCCGCAGCGCGCCCCACGTCGCCCCATCGGCGCCCTCAGGAGCCCGTGCTGCCCGAGGACGCCACCGCCGAGGAGAAGCGCGGAAGAAAGGCCAGGTCGTCGGGGCCCTCGCTGGTGGGCACGTC